CACCAGCTGCATATGCAAGCCCTCAGTCTTGTCATTTTTCCTTTGATCCTTTTCCTGGTTTGAGGCCGGCCCAGCCCTAACCCTCAACAGTCCTACTGATTGTAACTTGTTGGATGAGTGTCTGTCACCATCCTTTTGGATATTCTGTTTGGCAAGACTTTTAGGATGATCATAACACAAATAAAATACTGTTATGATGTATGAACGTGGCTTTTGTGCGGGGAAGAGAAATAGCTGCCAGACAACCCAGAAGACCTCTGAGTGTAGGGTATCACAGCACGTGCAGAGATCAGAAATCCACTACTGACTTCTCAGTTTTCCTGTATGGCTGAAGGCTGGTCAGCCTATATACCTCATTTTCATTTTAGAACATTGTCAAAATATACTGATTTTCTGAAATTATGAGTCTCTCCTTATTACTACATCATCCACCTAACATTATCTTTCTCTTCCATTTCATTCACTTGTTTTAGTGAGTGTCTCCTGCAGTAGATGACTATGACAATTTTGGCAACAATTACAGAGCAATTACATGCCCATGTGCTCTTGGTCTTTTTGTAAAATTCCTGTAGTGGTTTGGATTTGTCAGCAAATTTCTCTGACAAATCTGTAACACTGTGACAGTGTATAGTTGAAGGTTTGACATGGTTTGAGTAGACTTACTAGATTTATTGCAAGATTTACTCTTTGTTTGGATCTTAGGCTTTGGCTGGAGGGAACAATGCTATGTGAATGAAATGAAAGACAAGCTGAAAAGCGTGAGGCATAAAATGGTCTATCAGAATAACTATTCTACAGCAGTTAAACCTTGCTACCTGCTACCACTAGTGACTAGAAACAGTTACCCAAGGACGATACGGGGCCGGAAGGATGTTGTAGTCTGACCCAGCAAAGCAGTTTTTTGCTCTTATACCAAATGGCAAAGTGCTTTCAGAATTTTACAACAATTATTTATTATAGTGGGTTAATCTACATAGCTTTTGTCATATTTGATCTGGACATTCTTTGTACCACTCCAGACATTCTGAGAAAATTCCCAAACTCTATCTTCTTCAACAAAAATTCTAAATTTTGCTTAGTCTTACAGAGTCTGTGTGCTTTTTCTCCTCTAGCAACCTGCATGGGAAGACCTAGGTGATAAAGGCATCCTTCAGTTTGAAGCTGTGTTGTAACTTAAGCCAGAGCTTCTGTGTGAAATTGTTAAAGTGAAAAAATGTTGTAAGATTTTTTTTTATTATTATTTAAAAAAAATAGAACTGCTGCAAAGGAAATGGGAAACTAATTAGTCTCTTAGAGGTGTTATTCAGAGACTCAATCTTTCTCAGCTTCAGCAAGATACCTGTTCTTCTGAGAAACCCGCAATATAGCGTGAAAAAAATGGTAGAAACAATAGGTACTTCTTTTTATAGCTGGTATTTCTTCAGAAACATAGAGTGCAGCCAGAATGTGGCAGTGACAGATTTACTTTCTCTTGTGCTGGAACACAGCATTCTATTTATCTCTGACAGGCGAAGGATATGTTGGACAAACTGCACTATTAAATACAGAAAGCCTCATTTAAATAATGTTAGCACTTTAACATAAATAGGGACAAGCTATTCAGACATGAAGCTGATAACATTCTGCCCTCTAGCTTTGTTGTACACAGAAAACAAAAAACACAAGTGTATTTTAGTGGCTTTGTATTTAAATTTCTTTCTCCCCTGATCTTCTTGTGTAACTTCTTTGGAGAGTAGTATGTGGATAATTTCTACTGTATTTCTAGTTTGGAGAATAAAGTTGGTTTATGCTGTCCTCCACTGAGTTTTACAATTGCTTTTGGTTTACAATTGCTTTTGGTTAAAAAATTTTACCCAACTGTCACTGGATTGTTATAATCATTTCTTTATTTATAAGTAAAACTCTCTTTTCTTCCTCCTTGAGACCTACATGTCTACATACTGGGGTAGATTAAGCAGGGAGCTGTGCATACGTGCACCGAGGTGGAGAAGCGCCCTACAGCTGATTGCCTGTCTGTAAGTGGGGAGTAGGAGGCAGGAATAGGCAACATTTTACTTTTCCTAGGGCCAAGAGGTTTTCAAATAGCTTTGTGTCAGATGTTAATGCGCACACTTAACGTTACTCAATAATGTAATGAAAAATAAGAAAGACCTATTTCTATTGTGGCTTATAGGACAGTAAGGGGTCCCTGCTCTGATTTAAAGGTTGCTATGAGTAAGAGCCTGAAATTGCTTGACTATAGCCACCTCTTCTAAAATTGAAGCATTCATTCCAAGTTTATCTTCAATTTGTAGTCTCTCTGTCAGGAACTGTTTAATCTTCATAATGGCTCTTCTTTCGAAGGACTTGGGAAAAGTTATTGATACCAATCAATGTGAATTTCATTACCTCACCCAGATTTGCAGGAAGTACGATGATTGCTCTAAACCATTCTGGTAATTGCCATGAACAAGATGGGGAAAAGTTTTCACAAATGTAAGAGATTTTCTTCTAGGCAGAGGCAGATTCAGGTAGCGTTAGTAGATTCTCACCTGTCTGCTGGGCAAGGCTGGCTCACAAATTCCCAGTGCAGCACCCCAAAAGGAATCTGCTCCAGTAGCCCTTGAGCTTCTCTGTCTCAGGACTGAACAGAAGCGTATGTCCTGTGCATGTTAGGTGGAGTGACAGATGGAAACTAAGCCTCCCTTTCTGTTGATGTTTGCTTTAAGTTTCTGTAAATTTTAGACTGTATAATCTTCTTTCAATGATTCAGTTTTTGTCTTTTCATTTCCAGTGTCCCTTTTACTTAAACTGGCAATTTTATTTCACCTGTAAAGAGCAGATCTGGGAACGTGTTCTTCCATATCTGTTGTGAATAATTAATGCAAATAAATCATGTAGCTGCTCTGCAGTGTGTTTATCTCGTGTAAGTGAGCCTTTGACTGCTTAATACTTTGGTGAAACTGCTAATTTTCTTTCATTTCTGTATCCCATGGAATTGTTTTGAACAATTTGAATTTGAAATTTTTGCTAATGATATTTGCATTTCCGCACAGCTCTCTAGTTATTCATACACATCTTACCAGTTGTACTTGAAGTGCCTCTTTAGCTGCTTTTGTTTGGAATATCCATAGTCTGAAAAAAACCTCTGGTAACACAGAATAATTTGAGACTATTTAAATAAATTGTCTCATCCCCTCCCATCTTTCTCTATAAATAATGAGCGTTCTTTTTAAGGACTTTACTGTAGTTTTTACTTCTATGGATCCCTTTGCATTTCTTACTCCTGATTTGGTCCTTTGCTGTTGTAATGGCTGTTGATGGCAATAAATCTTTCGCTTTCTGTGTTTAATCTGCATGTTATTTATTACCACAATTCTTACAGTATTTTGAACTTCACAATGTAGCTCTTATTTAATTCTCCAATTATAGTAACTTTTTGAGCAAAGTATCGTGTAATTATAATATAGCTAACAATATTCTTGCTTTCTGCTCTCAAAGTAGTTGTACTCTGAGTTAATTGTCCAAAGCATGGAAGTTGCTTTCTCTAGACCTTGCCTTTTGTTCAATTTTATACAGAGAAATGAAATTTTCTGTAACTATTTTATTACTGTTTTTAACTATGTTTTGCTTTTGTTGATCAATATTGAAAAAGTGAATGTATGAAATTCAGGATTAAATAATGATAATTGTATTTTAACTTTCCTGTCGTCTTTCAAAACTTGTTTCTCTTCAGTTTTACTAATGATGTCTTTGAGATGATTGCATGTCGACATCGTTCTCATTCTGCCATTTTTCTAATATCATAATGTTGTCATAACCTTCGTTTGAAAGAAGTTTGCTGCTATGTTTTTGCACATAGCTTATTATAATTTGGAGATCTGCATAATGTAACCTCCCTTTTATAATACAACATATTTACATATCTAAAGCAACAGTCACATGAGAAAGTCTAAGTGCTTTACAAATCTAAATAAATTCAATCTGTTTCCCTGTGGTACAGAAACAGATTTCTGTTCCCCTGCCCAATTTTACAAAAAAGAATCTGAGAGACTAATACTGACTTGCCCCAAATCAGATGGCAAATACCTACTTTAAAATTAAGAATTGTGTACAGTTTTGCCTGTAGGTAATCTCAAATATTTTTTGTCACTTCATGTTGCTGCTTGAATTACTAGAGAAATGGAGTTTGCCTGTGGTCTTATATTTGACTAAAGGCCGGAATTTGACATTTTTTTTAACTCTTTGATGTGTCATTTTTAAAATGGCAAGATCTGGAAAACAAGATTTTTCTCAGCTGTGGTAGGAAAGGCAGGCAATTTTCCTAGACTTTTCCATTCTTGGCACTTTACTTTTATTACAAGACGGACATAATTGTTGATGAGTGTTTTTGTATCTTTTAGTGCTTGTGGGACCGTATCTCAATCTGTCAATATTAGATAAGTGTATACAAAGTTCACTTTTGGTCTCTTGGAAGAATAGCTTTCTCCTTCTTCAGGCAACTACTCCGTTCTTTTATGTTTGCTGCTCTAATAGTCGTTGATTGGTCTTACCTTCATTTTCTTTAAAATCGTCTGCAAAGTCTTCAATATATGGCTTCAAAAGCCATAAAAGGTGCTTAACTTTTCCTTAAAAATCTTGATGGAGAAGTCTTGATGAAGAAGATAGTAGTTTAATTTCATTTGACATCATTCTTTAAGTGTCCAATCTGTCTATTTTGACTGTTTTAAATGAATTTTCTGGTTTATACCTCTAGAAGAAAGCAAGGTGTTCCAGAATGTTGGACCTATCGAATAGATGTTGCTGGCAACAGGATCTTAACATTTCCCTTCCTGAAGCTGATAGGAGCACAGGGAATCTGTGCATGACAAAGATTTTAAGTCTAATGCTTGTGTCACCTAAGCTACTGTATATATATCCTGTGTATTTTTCTGAACGGGGGCAATGGTTCTGCCTCTTGAAGCTGCAGTGGGTTCCATATAAGAAGTCAGGATTCACTGGGACCTGTGTTTTACATAAATATGGGGTTTGGATTGCATGGTGGGACTCACATTCGCCCTGTTAACCTATGGACAGATGTCCAGGTAATGATCCCTGATAGCTGTGTGACAGTTCATACCTGCCAGATTATAGGTGTTGACAAGTCTGTGCAGAAATCTTGTGGTGCCTTGTGAATGCTCCTGAGAAAAGAGATTGACTGGCTTAACTGCCACCATTTTGGATTTGGGTGTCCAAATTATTAACAAATACTTTGTTGTTTTGTGTCTGTGTTTCAGTTCTCTATGTTCATTCCTCGCACAGATATGTACAGGACAGATTTTGGAAAGCTCCTGTGGTAGCGACTGAGAAAATTGCTGCTTTACAATGAACAGCTGCACTTTGTCTTTTTTTTTTTAATTATTTTATTTTTTTTTAATGATAAACGTAGACTTCTGTGAACTGTGGGAATCCTCTTGGCCTGGAAGTCTTCCCTTTGGGGGAAATAGTAGAAGGTGACCTTTTAAGTGTAGGCTGGGATACTTAAAGGGAAAGTCTTACATTAACACTTGATAATGAAGATAGTAAAACTAACACTTGACTAACTAACTAAACTTTACTAACATGTGAGTTAACCTGCCCTTAAATATTTTTATGAATGTCAAACTTTGCTGTTTCTGTCTAAAACCAAGATAGACTATTGCTAGAAGTCGTGAAATGGTTCAGAATGCTAGAAATTTCCAAGTGCTTCCATTGTAGTTCAAATACACTGCAAATTCCCCTGCCCTCTGCCAAGATCAATAAGCAAAAAACTTTGTTTAGCAGGGGGCAAGGTTGGAAGTTGGAGAACAAATGCTTCAGGCAAGTAGCCTGTTAGTTAACACTAAAGACAGAGGTTAGGACAGTATCAGGCGGGATCTCAGGGGGAGTGTGGCACCCTGGCGTGCAAGACTTTCTGAAGCCTGGTTTTGCATACAATAACGGCGCATTTAACATAAATGTGACTGAAATCATAATGTAAGTACAAAATGTGCTATGTTTTATTCATGGGGTAAAAATAATTGTAGGAATTACAAGGTAAAGTTAGGTTCTTATATCTTTATAAATAAAAGGGGGCTGATTTTTTTTTTAATAAAGGTGCTGACCATCCAATGTCTTAACGGCTGTACAGGAGCATTAAGAACCGTGTAAATGTTGGGTCATTTTGATGTATTAACCTAAATGTGGGCTCCATGTGTTGAGTGTGGGGTTTTTGTGTTTTTTTTTCCCCCCCCATTGAATCTACCTGGCTTTTTTCACACATTAGGACTTAGGCTGAAGTTTGAAATTCCTCCGTGCAGGGTGTGGTCTTTCCGTATGTTTGTGCTGTTTCTGCAGATTGGAACTTCCAAAACAGATGGCTTAAAGGTTCTGAAGAGTCAGACTTGGACACCCTCTCTTAAAACTTTATGAAACATGTTATTTAATTCTTGTAGTGGAGATGGTGGCTGAATGTGGAAGAAGACTCGGGGCAGTGGAGTGTAGCCTTCTCTTGCTCCTACCTCCTGCCACATTGCTAACCTTATGTCCTCTTTTTCTTACTCTTTTAAACAGTTTCTGATTTTTTTTTTCCTCCTGATTTATTTATTTTTAACATAAAAGCCTCCTTTTTTACTTTTCTGTATTAAATACTAGATTTTATTTGCCAACATTGATTTTAAATTGAGTTCAAATACAGACAATAATATGTTTTATTATGAAACGGCACTTCTTATAATTTTTGGAGGGATAAAGATGCATTGCACGTGCTTCTTGGATCTTGGCTGATTGCTAATGTATTTAAAAATGAAAAGAGGATGTATAGGAAAGCTGTACCTTACCTGTTCCCACAGGCCATGAAAATGATTAATGCTTGTCATGCTCAGCTTGGTCCTGTCCCCTTATAAGATCTTGGACCTGCTGATTTCTTACTTCCTGTGGCTTAAATGAAAGCTGTTGAGATATTTCTTATTTCTGGCCTTAAGAAGAACTAACATGTCTTTGTATTTATAAACTAAACAGAGAAGAAGAAGATTTGAACACTACTAAGGCAACTTTTTGTAACTGTCTGCTAATAGGTATAGTCAAGGGAAGCTGAAGACCTTGCTTTAGAACAAAGCTTGAGAGTATACGGTGAAGAAAAGTGTAATGACAGCTTGTTCTCAATTATTAACTCTTTTCTTGACTGCTACTTCTCAGACAGATTTTCAGGGGAAAAAATGCAAGAGAGCAGGGATGATTGGCCAGCCTATTGCATGATGATAGCTCCTAACAAAAATAAAGAAGTGGTCACTAAAGCTTCCTCGTCTCTGCAGGAGGTCGGCATAACTGTATCTTTAGCATAATCCTGCCACCCTTTAATGGAGCATCCTCTTCTTCTGGGAAGAGAAGTATTTATTGCAATGTATTTCCAAGGAAAAATGGGATTTTGAATTTATCCTTTTTCACTTAATGTACTTTCCTTGGAACAAATAGATTCCCAGCAAGCCTTACACGAGACTTCAGCCACAGCAGAAAGCATAGACTGAGCAACTTTTTCTAATTAAAACCTCCCTCAAAGGTCACTCTAATTGATGAGATTTACACCATCACATCCCATTCATTAAACTGAAACTGTGACAGAGGTTCAGAAGGGTCTATCAGGTGACTGCCTGCCTGTTGTCTCCTGCTGTATTTGAATCCCTTGCGAGGAAGAGAGAAATGGCACAGCATTTGTGTTTTATAAGGTGGCACGTATCAGAGCCGTGGGCTGGGGTGATCTGTTGTCCTAGACTTGTGCAGGATTTATTTACCTATACTGAGAAAGCTGAGAGTAATCGCAGAGAATATAAACTGGTGGGGTTTTTTTCTGTTTTGTTGTTGTTGTGTTGTTTTGTTTTAGCTGTGCTCTTATAGTCCAAGGCCACCTCCAAGGCTTCCTGCTCCCTGAGTCGAATGGCTGCAAGCAGCTCATTATCATGACTTGTGTTGCTGCCTTCACCATTTTAAAAACTCTTTATCTGTTTCTTCAGCAATAACTGTACAGCAACTCTTAACACTTAAAAAAGAATTTCTGTAAAAATTATCTGTCAAGGGCCTCAGCATGGGCTATATGTGCTGTAAAACGGGCACACCACCTAACTTGATGAGTAGCTGGAGAAAACCGCAGTTGCTAGTACGTACTGGCAGGGTCCCTAGCCATGGTGCTGGTGTGGATTCTCACCCTGGCTTTATTGCGAGAAAATTGCAAAATAGAATCAAATATTTCAGTTGGAAGGGACCTACAATAATCTAGTCCAATACTAGGAAAGTCACTTTAATTTTCTCCTTTTCTTTCCCCTCTTTACTGTCTATCTCTTTTTCTGGCACTTAAGGCCTCTCAAATCTTTTAGATTCAGCCAGACATTGACTTATTGGAGAGGGTAGTGAAGCTGTCCCTGACCTTCAGTGCTGCCCAGAGAAGGGCATGTTTTGAGGTGATGAGATGCTGTTTTGTCTCCTTGCCTGTACATCCCATTCACAGCGCACCCTGCCAGGCACTTCTTTTAATTTCCTCTTTGAATCCTTGTAAATACGGCAGGGATTTGAATAATTCACACCAGTTTGTCCTGCACTGCAGAACATAGTTTCTGTGCGACTGGAGTAGGAATTTAAGTTGTGCGTGTGGAACAAGACCCTACTGCAAGCAGGTGGTCTTGCTACCGGTCTCACTTGCTTATCAGACATCTTACAAAAACAACCATAAGCCGCCAACCGTGGCTGCTTTGGCAGTATCGACTGTTGAATTCAGTACTGATGTGGCCTTTTTGTATGAAATGTAAGTACTGGGCTGTAGCTTAGGCCTGTAGTTTGTTTCTGAGTACCTGGAAGACTTTTCTGGCGTGTTTAATGTTGTGTCAGATCTTCTATACTCACTGCTCATGTTCATTTGCTTGTTTGTGTTTATAATGAAATCTCAAACATCTGTTTTATTTTAGGAACTACATCACTGTTCCAACATACTGCACCACAGATAAGAGTCTGTGTCAGGAGCCTCAGTATTTTTCACATTTTTTGTTTTGCCTACTTTTAACAAGTGAGAGAGGAATCTAACCAGAGTATTGAGTTTCTTCACTTCTGTGAAGAATTTGAAATTATTTTCTATTCTTATTCAAAAAAATCTTCTATGTTGACTTTAATGGGATTAGTCACTGTACAGAGCTTTTGAAGACAGAGCACTAGTGATTTGCATCAGTTCCATCCAATCCACTATTTCATCTGATTCATTTGTTTCATTCTCCTTCACAGAAAGAAAATACAGGGAAAAATACCGAAATGGCCATGCCTTCTTTCCAGTAGTTAATGTGCAATAAGACTTGCTCAGCCTCTTTATGTGAAACTAAGAGTAAGCAGGTTTAGCTTGACCTCTTTAAGAACTTAATAGACACCCATCCTTCAGGACACTAAGATGTGTACCAATGTTGAAAAATATTTTTTTAAACTAAAATGTAAAAGTGAAAATGACAGGAATAACTTATGTTTGTATTGCCTCCTCCCTGCCCCTATAGTTAATAAAGAAACTTGGATAAACTACTGAGATAAAACATGATCAAAATTGTCTACTTTGTGATGGGTTTTGCATGTACATCTTCTAGAACATTTTATTTACTTTCCTGCTCTTCATATGATGATAATTCTTTTCCACGTATAATGTTTCTGATTCTCTGTGTTCGTGTATATGCCGCTTTTAACTTCTAGTTCTCCTTACTTGCTAAAATTTGAAACAGCTCTAGCATCTTCTGTGTTTATTGTCTACAGACTTGTGAGCATCTTGAATCTGATTCCTGTTCTCTGAACTAACTCCAATGATTTCTACAGTTCTGCAGCCATCGAGTTCTTGAGTTTCACTGTTTATTCTCTGGTTTCGTCTTCAGCTTGTGTATGAGTGTACAGTTTCACCAGGTTTATCTACCTCTCCATTACAATTTTTTTAAAAGTGAATGCCCCAATCTGCCCAGTGTTCTGTGGCACGGGATATCCAGTAGCCAAATTTGAAAGTTGGATATGCTTTGGTCAGCTGTTTTGTTCTCAATTGTTTTATTGCACAAGAGAGATATTGCTGTCTTCAGTATGCATCCTGTGTGTGTTGGTTCTTTTCTCAGTCATGAAGCTGAGAGAGGAACATATGTGGACCGACCGAATCAAAGATTATACTTAGGGATATTTTAGCTTTTTTGTTTATTGCAGGTGATTAAAGTGTATAGTGATTCTCAATTATTTTATTGCACAAGGGAGATATTGCTGTCTTCAGTACTGCATCCTGTGTGTGTTGGTTCTTTTCTCAGTCATGAAGCTGAGAGAGGAACATATGTGGACCGACCGAATCAAAGATTATACTTAGGGATATTTTAGCTTTTTTGTTTATTGCAGGTGATTAAAGTGTATAGTGAAGATGATACTAGCAGAGCTTTGGAAGTGCCGAGTGATGTAACAGCCAGGGATGTATGTCAGCTGTTGATATTGAAGAACCACTATATTGATGACCACAGCTGGACTCTGTTTGAACAACTTACCCATACAGGTTTAGGTAAGACTAATGCTGTACAGTGGTATGGCAGTAAATATGTTGTTTGATTTGCTTTTTTACATGGAAGTATAATTTTAATAGAAAGGCTTGGAAGAAAAATGATGGGAGGACTTGTGTGACTTTGTTCTTTTGGGGATTTGTTGCTTCTCTGTTTGTTTTTTGTTTGTTTTTTTCTTAGAGTGTAACTGTGAAGTACATTTTGTCATAGTACATTTGCTTCACACCGCTTGATCTGCATCTGTAAGAGTTATTTAGAAGACACTGGTGATTAAAGTCCTCACTGCAAATTCTTCCTCCCTCTTCCTTGCTTTTCCTTGTCAGTTCTTCCTCTTTTACTAGTATTTCCTACTTACCTTTAGCAAGATTTGGGTTATTTTTATTGCGAATAAAATCTTTATGGTTCCCAACACACCTGAGTGAAATCTCTGACATCAAGGACAGAAGGCAGTCGCACAGTGGTATTCCATATGGACAGTCAGTATTTTCCTTGAATACAATCAGTTTGGCTAGATTTATTGTGAGCTCTAGGGCAGGACTACTTGGAAAGCAAAACAAAACCATTCTTCTAAACTTCCAGTTGTGGACCAATGAACTGTGTTAAAGCGACTTTTTGCTTAATATTTTAAGTTGCTGGAAATGAAATGCTATGAAATCCTTCCACATCGTCAGTGTTCCTCTAATGTAGTTAAAACCCCTCTTCTATTATACAGTTAAAAGGTGTAATCTGTGGGTTTGGATTACAGCTATAATTCTAACTTCTGGTACCTATTTCTTTCTGTAGTGTATAGATGTTGCAGTATAAAAACACATTAAGACAAATATAGGGAGGAACGGGCTGTTGGCAGACTTATAAAAAATGCGGGGCACAGGAAAGACTTCACTCAGCAGAAGATGAGTTTAGAAGCCCACTGCTAAAATCTAGAATTGAACTAATACTCTGGTCAGACAATCTTAATTCCTTTTACAGCACTGTGTTTCAGCACTGTGTTTCAGCACTGTGTTTTGTTTGGTTTTGTTAGGACCGATACCAGAAAAATCTACCAGAAGAGAAATGCCAAAAATAATCTGTCATGTCACTCAGAATTTCCATATTATTTTTTAACTTTGGCATTGTACCAGTTATGAGAGGTAGTACTTCTGCAACTTCAAGGGCACTTCCAGCTGCTAGTGCGAAGCGTGGCTTGAGAAAGAGGATTTTTCAGGGCCTTCTTGCATTCTAAAATACGTAGAAAAATCCTTGGAGTCCTTAATTCTCCGAAGAGACTGCACTGGTAACTCCAGTGCTATTGATTTAAAAAAAACACCCCACACACCATCACCAAAAAACCAAACAATCCCTGACCCACACACCGTGGATATTTATATATGGCTAAAGGCTGTTGTTCAACTCCCTTTCTGTGTGTGTATCTGGGGAATCTGGACTCGTGTGTTTGTGTAAAATACAGCTGGCAATGCACCTCTGACTGTATTATGTTTAACAGCTGTATTTTAAAGACAAACTACAGAAGCTAAAATTGTTTTCTGTCCTTTTCTGCTCCTTTATCCTATGAAGGCAGCCACAAATGTTTTTCAGGTTTTTTTTCTTGCTTTGTAATATTTCAAAGATATTTATAACCTTTTGCACTGAATGTATCAGTTGTAAGATACTTCCAGCTCAGAGTAAGGTCATAGGTAAATCTGGTTCAGGGCTGTAAATGCTGCTACAGAAGACGAGGTATAAAAATGAGTTTAGACGACACTACTATGTAAGTAGCAGACGTGTTTTCTGGATTTTGTAGTGTGGTTAGTGTTTAAGTAGTGTAGCAACTATGGAGGAAGACACTTCTGACAAATCATGCCAGAACAGTGGCATTGTTTCTCCAGGTTTGTCTGTTTGCTTAATGCACGTCATGTCAAATAGTGTGTTTGCTTCAGTCTGAATGATTTCTTGGAAGATTTCTGTAGTAAATCATTAGTGAAGTTGCTTTTCTTAAGATTCTGAATTTCTCAAAATTGCTGATGTGAAGGATTGTAGACCTGCATTCACCGTACAGTCTTCTGATTGCTCCAGCTGCTTTGGGCATCATTTGAGAAAAAGCTAAATTGTTCATTTTAAAAATAAAATTATTTCCTAGACAATGAGGATGGCAATTCAACATTACTAGCCAAGGTAAGGAAAAACTTGAGATGTAGTCTATTTTTTTAATACTGAATAATAGTGCCTTTATTTTTATGATACTGTTAGATCCGGTTTTGTTTAAAAGGTTCAACATATTGATCCTGACTTGCATTAATTATATTCTTAAGTACTGGATGAGTAGCACAAGAAGTATTTTTCAAATTATTTAGTTTTGGATTGTTTGCAATTTATTATTCTGTTGTATGTTTTATCTATGGAGATTTAGACAGTCTTTTTCTGTTCCCAAGTTAAATGAATGGATATAGAAAGGAGAAAAAGTGTGAGTGTGTGTCTCTGTAAATTCCAGTGCGGTGGGAATTAATAATTCATTCATCAATTAGTGAGCATTTTCTTTAATATCTAACAGCTGTCTGAATACTCTTGAATTAGATATAATTGCATGAATCTTAGTGAGCTGAGCACAGCGTTCTGCATTTAATCAAGACAGACATTAATTACATCACCAAAGTGTGCCTTCATTGGTATCTGCATGTAAAGGTTAAAGAAATAAGATGAAATCCCACCTAAAAGAAAACATAAACCCGTTGTCTCTGTATTACTGTATTCACAAACCCATATGCCTTTTAGTGGGACATCTGTAGCAAAGATGATTTAGTGTGGACCTGTTTTGTTGAACGTTATGCCTAGTATTGTCCTCAAAGTGTTGTGTGGCAAGTGCTGACCAGATGGCGGGTGGGCAGGTGAGATAGTTCCTCCACCCGCACCAGCCAGGACACCCCATTTGACTGCCATGGGCACCCCCGCTGCGCCCTGCCTGCTGCCTCGTCACCCGGGGTGCTCAGCTTTCCTCCCGCCCTCCAAAGTTTTGCAGTAGCTTGGGCTCTCTTTCAAATATCTGAAATACTACGATTATTACAGCACTGTAAATCACAATACGTGTCCAAACTCCCGGTGTGTGTCCTTTGTGTCCCAAGCTGTTGAATTCAAATAAATTCTTGGATGTTTTTCACCCTATCTAAGATTACTGAAAGCAGCTGAGGTATGCCTAGATTTGGATGATGCTACCATGTCATCCCTACTACCAGGTGCCTGGCTGTCGGAGTCTCAATTCTTCTGTTGCAGTTCTCCTGCAGGCTGTGAAAACAGAACAGTTTTCCATAGCTGTTCACCTTTCCAAGGGAAGTAGGGTGTTCATCCTGAAATTTTTCTTTTTCTAGTGAGAAGTTTTTGTGCTGACTGTAAACAGTTTTTCATTTGCTTCTGCAGGTCAACAGACTTGCGTTCTGGGGTTATTCCTTGAGTAGGTGATAGTGCCTTGGCCAGGGACGTCATCGCTGTGTTTCAGTCTCCATTTTGATTTCACTCTCCGTGTTCTTTTAGGCAGCCTTTGGGAGGGCTCTCAGAGCACTGTCTGTGCAGTAGTAATGAGCAATGTCTTTTCTGGGGTTTTTTAGTTTAATTTTTTTCCCCTGCTGGCTGCCTAGAGAGGAGGCTATTTGAAATGTGTTCTGTCGTGCACTTCAGTATTAAATCTTCTTTCACATGCTTTACTTTCCATAGCTAAGGAGACACTGGTTTGAACTGTAGCAGGAGCTTCTCGTGTTAGCGATAGTAGTAATAAAGAGATGGTACTGAGGAAGGTAGAAACTCTCCAGTCTAGTTGGAAGAGAAAAAACAATCTAACTAAACTGAAGTGCAGCTTTTTCATGGCAACATTTAGGGATTTGATTACAGGGCTTTGTTTTGGAGGGCACTAACTCAGTGTTTCGTTTCTTTCAAGAAAGTAATCAATTGTAAAATATTCTGTGTTGTGACAACTTAAAGAAATACCGGCATCCTTACCCATCCTTTGGGGTGAAGCAGAATATCTTATTTTTGTACAAAGAATTAAGTCTTGAGGAAATGGTGTTTTTGTAAATGTCACAGTGCCAAGTATTGAAGACTTTAAAATGTCATCCCAGAGGAGTGCTTTCTTTATATAAAACTGAAAGGAAAAAGAAGTACTGGTTTTGAGTAAGAGCTTCAGTTCTCTAGTGTCTCGTTACCCCTGCCTCTGAAGATGGTGTTTTGGAGTAGAGCAGCCTGTACAATATTTTAAAAATGCTTGGGCTATTTTTTGTTTCCTGAATTGCCTTGTGTTTTTATTTGCTTCATTTGTTTGAGTTAAAAAATTTCATGTAGCATATTTATTCTCTGTATTATGGAATCAAAAATGAGTTAAATTCAATGAAGAATGAATTAAATTCAATGGAAGTTTAACTTTTCCATATCTGATCTGTAGATCATAAGAGTACTTTGTCTCCTTCTAGTCATAAGCTTGATATTTTCCTCAGATTTAGCTGTATGGGTGTATTGTGTCTAAATTTGCTACCTGGAAACTTCCTGAAGAAGCTTATAGGTTTGCAGGCTCCAATAAGGCTATTACCCACCAGACTGGACAGCATGGAAGCTTGAAGACACGACTGACGAAAGAGGTGGTGAGAGAGGAAAAAGTGCTGTAGTTTTCAAGAGACTTTAATGATTTCAAGTTTGAGGTTTGATTATTATCTCTTAGAATATGGTGCCTGCTACACTTTAGGAAGGTTAGGGTCTTCAGTTAGCCAGAACTACTTGCAGGAATTTATTATTTATATTAATTTAATGTTCTGCCCAATTAAGTTTAACAAAAAATCATTACGGTTCTTTCATCTGTTACGATTTTAAAATTTTTTCTAACAAAAGACAAGTTATATGCAAGTATCAATATTAATTTAAAGTATATCATAAGATCCCTTATGAAGCGCATAAAATGTGATCAAGAATTGTGAGTTACATGTTTTTTATAATACATTTTTAATTGCCTTTTCCCATTGAAACCATGCTCAGATTTGGCTGTTAAAGCCTCATAATCGGCAGGGATACACACCTTTAGATCTCACACCTATTCTTGGCCTGTAGCTCATTGTTGGAGTGTGATGCAAATTTGGAGGTGCCAGTGATCATTCAAATAAAATCTACAACTTTGTCCAACTCTGGCTTGTTCTTATTAGTTTGAGTCCACGACAAAGAACAAGTGGCCACAAAAACTCATTTGGAAGCATGTTTGTCCTTTTTTTGTAGCGTGATTTCATAAGCTGCTGAAGATGACGTCAAAACACAAATGAAAAACCCCCTTGTGTGACCTCAGAAGCTGAACACTACTGCGGGGGAACAGTAACTTGATTAAACTGATTAATGGACTGTGTTCACATTTCTTGTTTCATGTTTTGTATTTGTGTAAATTAATTTATTTATTTTTTATTATCTGACCTTTGTGTTTCCAGGTCCTGCTCTTAGATACAGTTTATGTGGTCATGTTTTTTTAAATTTTTTCATTTTTTCTACAGCAAGAGCTATAGAGGACCATGAGTTAGTGAGGGAAGTCCAGTCAAATTGGATAATGGAAGAGGAAAACAAACTGTATTTTAGAAAAAATTATGCCAAGTATGAATTTTTTAAAAATCCACTGGTAAGTCCTGGCATTATATCTGTGAGGTGTTGCAGCTGGTATTGCTGCAGAATAGGTTTTTTCTGTTATACAAAGATAGGCTGATGGTAAAGTTGTTAGTGTAACGTGAGTCAAAAGGAATAATTGGGAGGGACTATATGGGGTATAGGAATATACTGTAGTGCGTGTAACTATGCTTTGTTGCAATTGTAAAACATGCATGTTCATACTTTTTGGGAGGAGAGGCAGTGGGGGCGAAGAGGGCAGACATGGGTTTAACTTTGTTGAAGTTTGCGCATGGACCTGCGGCAAAATAAAATCTTTGAAATTGTGTGAAGTGTCCATCAAGTGGCAACAAAATATAAAATGAAGCAGTGTGAAAGGGGGCATCTGTAGCAAAGATGATTTTATTTTTTAAGTTAAAATCAAATGTTGTGGCCCAGCGCTGCCGGATGGCAGCTTCCTACAGCTGCAGCTAAATGACAGCTGACACAAAAGGCCATGAGCAGCCATAACCTGTTAGGAGTAAGTGAAGGTGAAGCCAAAGTTAGTGTATGTAAGGAATGGAAAGAGAGCAGAGACAGCTCATAACTCAGCGATGTTGCCAAAGGTTAATGCCGCTGATTCAGACCTTGGCTGCTGGCAAAGGCCATGGAAGCCGTTCTGGCTCAGCAGGAGAAGCACTCTCCATCTGGTTGCTCAATTGCATGGTGTGTTTGGATCACTCCTAATGCTTCTAAAGCCAGCTTGTTTCAGATGTCAAAGGGAGAAATAGCAGAAATGCATGAGGACTTGAAAGGTGAGAAGTGGAAGGGAACTCAAATTATCTATGAAAAGGTAAATATTTAAGATACCAAAAGATATAAGAGATCTGAGGGCTTTTTTTCTTGCTCCACCTTTGTTTCTCTGGGCAAATTCCCCTGACATGGAGATACCAGTGCACTAGTGAAAGGTTCTAAGCTTGAGACGGTCTATAGTTAGTAGAGAAGCTTTCAAAGAGTAAGTATGCTTGTGTGTTGGTTAACCAGTGAGTGGAACCAGCTGTGGAGTGTCACAGATGTGCAGTCCTGGCTGGGATCAGCAGCTGCGGTGAATCAGAAACCTTGCTGTTCAGTGGAGTCATTGCTCTGGGTGCTGTGGTCCCAGGTGTAGCAAGAAAGCCATATCAGAAATGAGTCCGTATGAATTAACCCTACCGGTATTTCAGTTTTATTAAAAAATGAAAGTCAGTAGATATTGGATGGTCAAGGGAATATTATCTTCAAACTTGTTCAAGCCTTTTTAGTAGTGGTCAAGCTCTTGGCTGGTTCAGAATCTGCATGACTGTATTGAATTCTTCAGCTGCAGGTCCGTCCCATAAATGATCCTTTGAGTTTTCCTTGGTAATGAAAAGAATACTTTAAACGTGGGCTTTTTAACCACACCATATTGATGTAGTCAGATTTTTATGTTAATTCATATTCCTATCATATAAAATGGACAATTAACCTGAGAGGACTTGTTCTCTGTTAATGGAACTTATTACGAAATATTTTACTGTGTTTCTAGTGTAATGAAAACAATAGAAAACAATATATTTTTCAGCATGTTGGTATATATCCTCCTTACTTCACAGCATATTGAATCCCCGAGTAAGTTTTACATGTCAACAGCACTAGAAATCACTTTTGAGAAAACAACACTAAGAGCCGAGTACTGCAGTATGGCTTGCACTGGTGTATGAAACCCGCTTGCTTCAAGAGGCCATTGATGTTTTCTCAAAATTCTAAGTTCTTCAGAAAATAATATATAAGATGTCATAAATTTAGTAATGATGTTAATATAGCTTAAGTTAATAGATCAGAGAGTCTGCAGTGTCTTGAACTGCATTGAGAACTTCAATTTTATGTTCAAAAGAGATAGGAAGTTCTACATTTATTTTTACAGAATGTTGATACAAATTGTTATTGTTACAGAGCTTTTTTCCAGAGCATATGATATCTTTTCCAAGTGAGACCAATGCAGCTGTGAGCCACTCTGAGATATTACAGGTATGTAATCTTTGAATGAAGATGAGCCAGCATAGCTCGGAATTTCCCGTTGTCTGTCTTGTGTGAGTGTAGTTCTTTGTCACTGTTGGGTCTGTTGCTGGGCTTTAAATAACTGTAAAAAAAAAAAGTTTAATTTTTTTTTCTTTATGAGATATGGCACTTCTAGACAGTTATTACATGATCACCCTTAGAAACGTGAAGAATTGTTTCAGAATCAAGGAACACCAAAACAGACAAAATGCAGTAAAAATGGTTAATACCTTTATTGGGTATTTCAGGTGAAAGACATTTTCTTTAAAAATGTAGAGCCCACAAGGGTTTGGAATAATATTGAGGAACTGGTAATGTGATACAAATGGATATAAAAAAGAGTTAATTGTTATAAAAAAGAGTAGAAAATTTAGACTGATTAGTATGATTTGTTAGCTTGAAGGCTACTGTAGCCTTCGAGAAAAAAATATGGTAGGTCACTCAGTGTTAGTCATCTTTTAAGCAGGCACAGGATTTTAATTTACAGAGGGAATAATTTCACAGAATGACCATATCAGGGATCATCATCTTACTTCTCAAAGGGGGGAAAAATGAGTAATAAAGGTGGAAACATACACATTACTCTTGTTTGCTTGTCACTAGAAAAATTAATTAACAGAATAACTTTCGCTGGTCTTAAGACAACAACCCTGTGTGTGGGTTTTGAGGATGGGCAACACAAGAACACAAGACACAAGACTTTTAAGGTAGAACTAAAAGAAATACAGAAATTACTTTTTGTTGTTGTTGTTTCTATATAATAAATTCTATGTTAGCATCCAGAAGTAAATGAAAAACATTAAAGAGCTAGATCTCAAGTCATTCTTCTATATAAAATAGTTATATCCTTATAGAAGCAGATGCTAGTCAGGAGGTTAAGATTATAGCAAATATAGAAAAAATGCTTCAAATTAAATTCAATTGACATGTGCTAGATTCTGGAAATAACTTTTACAAATCTAAATAAAAACTTCATAATTTCACAAGATGCTTTGTCTCTAATGAAAATTGGTTCACTTTTGCAACCTAAATAGCAAATAGATTTTGCAGTCTAACATAAACATTTAGTTTTAAAAATCTCATTCCCTGTGTTAATAGAACCCAGTATTTTTTGCTTGTATAATTTGGTGTTTTGAGAAAGGTAAGACTTCTATAATGGAACTATTTGCCATATACTCTCACACAGAACTTCTTTAAGCCTGTATTGTGATATGTAGAATGTGTGCAGAGCTTGTGGGTAAGATTAAGAATGTTTCTAAAAATACATAGTTACATCCGATTTTGATAGCTTGGAAATTTGGTTGTGAATTCTCCTCTGACGCTATTTTATGTTGTTTTGTCTGTTTAATTGCATTTCGTTATATAAAACTTGCGAGGTACAAAGTAGAGAATACCTCTGTGGGTTGTGCAGCTGTTGTACGTGTTTCAGCGGAAACTGTTGGATAAATTGTTTACAGTGAGTTGCTATTTCCTTGGAAACTTTCATTAAGACGAGTTAATGGGCTTGCGTTATTATTTGTGATGTGCTTGGTCAAGTATCAAGAGAGACATTAGTTTTAACAACTCGGTGCTTACAAGTGATTAAAAAATCGCTTCTGATGCTTTTATAGCTTTTTGTGGATTAAGCTGTAAGGAAGTGAAATGTTTTTCAAGAATGTTTTTCTTGACTTTTATTGAAGGAGAAAGAGTGAGTCTTTTGGCTGATGACTTTAAATCAGAGCATCTAAATACCCTGAAAAACAAACAAAAGTTTACCTGCCTCCTATCCATTTAGAATGTGCCAAGTAAAATTGCTATGTCTGACATATACCAAATGTTAATGTGTATACCCAAGAGAGAGGTTTAATTGCTGCCATGGAGATCTTTAGCCTAAAAATAATAAAAATCTGTGTCGCTGTATGTATTAGACTATGGCTGCTCTGAGGTGCAGCACTGTAGGTACATGTCTAGTGGTAGGCCCTATGGATCATTTGGAACTTGATTTACATTATTTTTGCGAATTGCATGTTTTAAAACCCATCAAAAATGAACATAGTATGAAGATTTTAATCTGAGCCCTCTCCCCATAGTACTGAAATATTCTATCTGAGGTGGGTTGGTCGTTTTCTGAGAATTAGTAACTTTCATAGGCGGGCAACAAATTAATTCACTTGGTCTAAATAGATGTGAAAGCATTGTTGAATGTAATTTTAAATGGGACTTGAAACTTGTTTAAAACATCATCCGCGTATTGGAGCAACTCTTATTTTAGATGAATTCCTGTACATACTTCATCCTTTTGTATTGCTATTCATGACAGCATTTCCAATGAATAGACTGCACAGTGTAGATAGTGTTGACAGAATTGAGTCCTTCAGAGACGTAGGAAGTGAAATCCTAGCCTCACTGAAGTCAACAAAGAAAATATTTAAATTAATTTGAAGGGTCAATTTTTTGCCCTAGGGTGGCTTTTTTATCATCTCCCTTTTGTCTGTGAATCACATTTCTCCAGTTTTGTAATTCTGTTTTTTTTAATCTTTTAATTGTATTTGCAACAGAATTGTTTTCACTATGCAGTGTGTCAATTAGTGTTTTAAATTTAACAGTCACATCTTCAAAATAAAAAGTGAAATTAATTGGCTAATTACACTTTTTTCCTGGGCTTGCTTTAAGAGTAGGCCTTTCCTCCACCTGCTTCTCATTGTTTAGTAGATGCAATCGATATCCTGCCCATGACAGGGAGGTTGGATTAAATGATCTCTAAGGTCCCTTCCAGCCTAGGCCATTCTATGATTCTGTAATATTCAGGTTCTGTAAGTAGACTTGAAGTTCATAGTTCAAGACTTCTATTGACAATTTGGCTGCTTCTCTCTAAGAGCTTTTTACGTATAATGCAAAGACATTAAAAAAGCTATTCTAGATAGCATGTGTCGAAGCCATCTTCCAGAGCAATGATAAAAAACTTGCACCTGATGCAGAATATGTTAAAGAAGGAAGTGTATGTCTTTCCTAAATAAACATTAAAAAATGTTATATATGCAAAAATGAACTTAAAGACAGAACAGCATTACAAAGATAAACACTCAGAATTTTGTGAAAGGTAAAATTACTGATAGTGTCTTTTCCTTTTGCCCTTTCCCAGTTGCTGTTTCTTGCCCTGTCTTCTTACTTGTTCCCATTCAGTGCCTTCACAGATTTAAGATTCAAGCTTTCATTTCTTTAATCTTTCTGACACAGCCAAAACCAGTTTCTCATCTTGACTCCGTTCCAGTCTTCAGGGTGAAATAGCCAGACACTGAATTTCAGTCTTATCAGTCTCCTAGACATGTTCTCATCTGCCCTGTTGTCTTTCCCCATTTTCCACTCTAGGTTTTGGTGGCCTTTCTCCCAGTCTGAAACCCTCAGATTGATTGAAGTCTATAGGAGACAATACTGAGAATCAGTATCAGTTCTTCACTGGAAGGAATTGTTGCCACCAACATTAATCAGTGGATTCAGGGAAAAATTCTGCTTGTTCCTGGTAGCAGTGGGCTAGATCATGGCTGCCTGTCATAACGTCTTTGACGAAATCAGTCATAAAACTCAGACTTGATTCATAGAGTCTTAGGAAAATGATGGTTTAACTTGCCAAAATAATGTGTAAGCGCTCAAGAAGCCTCCACCTTAGCAAATCCCATCTCCATTACTGCACAGCCATCCTTTCCATGGAAATGGTGAAGGTGCAGATAAGTTGTGTAGTTAGGAGTGCAGCTTTCCATTGTTATTGAATTCAGCGACATCTAATATTTCTGCTTTTTTATGATGACTTTCATCCGAGACAGTGCAATGTTTTACCTGTTCTGTTGTTCTCTTGTCGTTTGATTTGATTTTTTGTTGTTGCTCTTTTTTCTCAAAAAAAAATTATTTACTTCATTTTTTTTTTCTTCAAATTGGTTGGTTTTACAGCTAATCAAATTGTCATCAAGTTCTTGGTGCTGTTATATATTAGTATCTGAAAGATGTGGTGACATTTGACACTACCCTACACATCATGTTACATGTTTTACTGCATGGAGAAGAGAATGCAAGCTTATTTCTGCATATTGTGTGACCAATAATTCCGGTCTGCAGGAATTATTTAACTCTACTTCTTTGTCCTATAATAAGAACTTTTCTTATTTATCTGATTTTTGTCCGGTTTTGATTAGCTCTTATCTGCATAAACAAATCCATTCCCCCTGCAATAAGCTTGCATGTACCTCCATTAAAAAAGAAAAACCACAAAGCAAAACAGCAAGAGAAAGCCCAACCAAAGCCAACCCACAACAAAAAAAAACCCAAGGGAGTTCTCTCTTCTACTATCTTTAGTTTTAGGTGTTTATTACAGACATCCAGTTCTCCCTCTGAAATATTTTTGCTGCTCATTCCTTCTGACAGGTAATGGTTTTGACTACGGCTTGTTCATGTTGTATTTTCTCACACAGTCTTCAGCTGTCTTAGAAAGAAAAAGATGGATCTAGGATGTCCTTTTTTCCCAGCATTATTGCTACTTTATTTTAATTGATAGCATGGGTACAACAGTGACTGTTGAAGCTGAGCTTTGTATTGCTCCTCCACGTTGGTTTGCTGAGTAAGAAAAGTCTTTTTCATGACAGCACTTCTGGCTTGAAGCTCTTACGGCAGAAATCCTGGGGAACACACTTGTGCAGGCTGGGAGCCAACCACTCCTTGACTCTTCAGAGATACTAAAAAAGATGCTCTTGTTTTTCCATATGTTGACTCTTACATATTTTGCTAAAGCTTCCATTTGACTTTTTTATGGAGTTAAAATACTTTTTTTCAATGCCGCCCTTATGCTCACTGTGAGTGAACCTGTTAATATGTGGCAAATGGGAAGATTAACAGGCTGAAACACCTACCAGGGCTGACTGGTCTGCTCCAGTGTGGCTGAAATAGCTTAAACTGCATTTCCACACAACCAGCAGCACATGTAGATAGATATACCTAGTCTTAATGCAATTTAACTATTCCGTTGAGAAGGAATGAAGCTATTCATGATGCATTCCTAGTTGTAGGCTAGGGCAGTCCCCTGTCAAATGAAGCCTGCCCGTGCTACTGCGTTCATAGCAGCTGAATTTAGTTAGCTCAGGTGGGTCTACAGGTCGTCCAGCACTGGCCAGCCTGTCTCTTTCTTGGTGATCTGCTCCTTCATGTCTCAGATTTTGTGGAAGTGGCCGTGGACAAGAGAAAAATGCAGCAATGAAAGCTGCAGATCCTTGGTTCCCTGCCTCTGGTTAAGCCCAGATGGTATTTATGGTACTGCAGGCCAGCCTGCAGCAGGGTTCTTTGAAGAGCTTAGTAATAACGTAGATTTCATTGCATATATGGAAATGGAAGAGTTCTAGGTGAGTATGTTTAGATGTGAGTCATAGTTCTGTGTAGTTTTACTGGAAGAGAAATAAAGCTGAATGCAGAACATGGAGTTAGAACGGAGTTAACACAGTTAGCACCCTTTGATGGGTACTTCTGCAGGCTGATGAAACTATGTATTTGGTCTTAGCAAGTTAACAGCTGTTCTGCACCCTGACCACGTCTGGGTGTAAGGGCTAAGGAGAAGCCACTGCATACCTTGACTGGAGGCAGGAGCTGTCTTGGAGACCAAGTAAAACTCCTGCTTAAGCACCACTTCAGGTCCTGAGACCTTTGTTCCCTCCTTTTGTCTGGTAATGTCTGCCTGACCTGCATGGTTTTGTGAATCAGATTTTGTGATTCGTTTGCTGAATTAATTTTAACCTAGATCAATTCCCTCGTCTGGTTTGTAACACAGAGGAGGGAGAGATGGCGTTTTGTTTTTTCTTCTTTTGGTAGCATTAATTTGCAGTTTTATATAAATAGGGTCTAAGACACGGGATCAGAACTTCTTAACGCTGGTTTTGTTTCTGAAGTCAACATATTGCATAACTAATGCTCTCATTTCAAACCATATGTTCCCTATAAATCTGTAACTTGCTTAGCATACCTTGAAGTTGCATAACATTCTACACTCCTTAAATCAGAGGTACCTTAATGGGGTTAGCTGCGTTCAGAACTGCATTGCTGTGGTGTCGTAGTGGATTTAAGGGTTTATTCCCCTTAGTCCTGGCTGACTGTGTTAATGAAACAGAAAGCTAGTTTCTAATGAAAAGAAAAATGCATGTCTAATATTTTGTTTCAGATGTTCCTAAGCTCCAGCACGTATCCTGAGATTCATGGTTATTTGCATGCAAAGGAACAGGGGAGAAAATCATGGAAAAAATTGTACTTTCTTTTGAGAAGGTCTGGCCTTTATTTTTCCACTAAAGGTACATCTAAGGTATGGGAAGGAAAAAAAAAAAAGAGAACTGTGAAGTTAGAGGAAATGTGTATTTGTTTATAATTTGTTGTAATAATAACCAAAACTTGAATTTCAACTTAGAGTGATAAAAATGAAAAAAAATAATCTATTTATTATAGATAAAATCCAGAGAGATATTGAGATATAAAATTGGGAAAGTATTGTCTTAGAAACATTAGTGTCTTTTTGCCTGATAACTTTGCTTCATTCTAGTTAATATTTTTTTAATCAGTTAATAAAGCACCCTTTTAAAATGAATTTTCAAATGGTAGTTAAAATTCTGAAGTACAAACAGATACTCTGAAAAGTGGACATAATACTTCATTATCTAAAATCTGTGTGTATATATATGTGTGTGCATAAAGGGATTTCACAAGAAGATTTTGAGACTTCTCAAATTATGTCACTGGCCAGTTTTTCATTTTACTACTTCAGCTTATTGATGGCAGCACTTTGAACTTGATTATGTTAAACTGGAAATATTGGACCTAACACACATTTTACATAAACCACTTAAACCACTATTTTTTCTTGTTTCGAATCTTCTGTGCTAACTGCTAAGAGTATTCATTGAGCTGGTTTTGTATCCTTCAGGAAATTTCATTTGTTTGATTTCTTGATTTAATTAATCTTAGAGAATGGAGATAAAGGCTACAAACAGTACTGGACAGTAAATATTACAGTATGTTGTTTTTCAGATTATGAAAGTACATTTTATTTTGATGTTTGAAAGACAGACTGCTCTCAAAACTTGACTGTTACTCTAATATTAATTGTGGCTTGAATTTAATGGTTATTTCCCAGAAATTATATCACTTGTACTTTGTTTTTTTCTCCCTCTTTGGGAGAATGAACTCTGACTAAATTGAAGTGTGTTTTCTCTGCATTCTAAAATTAATATTGAGTTGTCTCTTTCTAGATGTCACAGTGTCACAGTATGTAAGACTGTATTTTAGAACAGGATAACTACTATACTCTTCTGAATTTCTTATCTGAGGCTGGCTAAAAATAGTCTAAATGTATTACATTGCTCTTCTTTTTAGGAGCCAAGGCATCTGCAGTTTTTCTGTGAATTCAGCAATAGTGATATGTACATGTCTTTGACAGGCAAAAAGATTTCTGGAGCACCAACCAACTATGGATTCTGCTTTAAGGTACAAGCTTATTATTCTGATACTTACTAAAGCAAGCCACAGTTTTTAGGTAAGCTTAAGTTTCTTTAAGTTTTTTGAAAACAATATTCAGCTGTCTATTATAAAATAGGAGAATTAGTGGCTTTTATTTCAACAGGTGTTATCTTCAAGATATGCATTAATGCTAAAAAAAATGTGCTGTGGCCTTCTAGCCTAACAAATCAGGAGGAACCAGAGACCTGAAACAGCTCTGTGCAGATGATGAACAAAGTAGGACCTGTTGGATGACAGCAATTAGGTTGCTTAAGGTAATTTTTCTGTGTGGGGTTAACTTCTTACTTAGGTTACTATGCGAAACTGTGGTACTCTGCAGTAGGGAAGTAATTTAATTCTAGGTTCCCCTGAAAGAGCAATATCAATTTTGTACTCTGAAGGCTTATTTTTCTTCAACTCGACAGCAAGAGACCAAATTGCTGGAATCATTGTAGGGCATGGGATGATGTCTGGAAGCCTCAGTCCTGTGAGTGCTTAACATTAAGCATATACTTATATGAAATCATGTTGAATTCAGTGAGGTTGTTGGGCAATGATGAACAAAGCAACAAGAATACACAAGAAGGAAAACGTAATACTCTTTTTAAAAATGTGTCTGTGATAGAGCAGGTCACTTGGTGTATTAAATGGATAATATTTGCTGCAGAGTGTACATTTATAAAGGCAGCAGCAACAATGATGATGTTGTGCATTTCCTTGACAGCATTTGTCCCTGGTTTTTAACGGTAAAGAAAAGCATGTGTTATCTTTTACATCTGGAAGATTACTTTACTTGGATTAGGTTTATAATTTATAAATGCTAACTGTGTTATTTTCTGATTTTAGTATGGGATGCAGCTGTATCAGAATTATATGCAACCATATCAAGGTAGAAGTGGCTGCAGCCCTTTAACACCCATGGTATGTCCCACAGTAGCTCCATGAATAAATAATTGTTTCTGCCATTGTGCTATTTTAAGTAATTTGTGTCAGTTACACTACTGACCTGATCCTGCAGATCTTTGCGTGTGCGAATGCTTGCTGAAATCTTTAGGGCTGTCAGGTTGACTAGAGCGCTAATTAATTAATTTACTTATTTAATACAAGTATTGTCGGATAGTTCAGACCAGTTAACAGGCTTTTTCCCTTTGTCAGATCTCCAGTATTTTGGGAGGTCATTGGCTTATTGTCACTAACAGAAAGAATGGAAAGAGGATATGTAAAACAGGGCAGCAGAACTATAAGTGCATTAAAAAAGAAGCAAAGTGTTTAAGGTTACACATGCTGCAAATGAAATAAAGAAAGCTGTAACAAGTAATTTTCACTATACAGTAATACTTCCATTGTATTTTATTTTTTAAGTATAAAAATATTAAGTACTTGAGATGAATTTCACGTGGTGTAGTACTAACTGGACTTGAGAGGAACAACAGTTTTGGAGGAACAACAGTCTAGACTAAATGCTGTGTCCATCTCCTCTGTCAGATAGTTGGGATTGGATCAGGTTGTCCTTTTCTTTAATAATTTATTTTATCCGAGTTCTTTATGAGTTACTTGATTTCAGGCTTTTTCATGGATAATTTATATCACTTCTGTGGTTTTTGTTAGCTAAATAGGGTAAAAATTACTTGTAGCTGGGGCTTGTGACAGTGATTTTATGGTGGATTTTCTGAGCTTTTATTTTAGCTCTTGCTGCTAAAATGACAAAAATATGCATTTGCCATTAAAGGCGTTCCCAAAAGTAGTTTTCAGAGATATTGCTAATAAGCATGGCATCAAAATGGTGCTTAATACACTGACACCCTATTTACTTTCTGTTGTGTGGAGCTGTTACAAGAGCCAGCTGCTGCTTTTATAATGGGTCGGGGAGCTGTTACTGATCCTCTCTGCTCTTACTCTGTGGCGTGTGTTTTAGATCATGTAGCTTCTAAACCAGCCAGAATCTGTAACCAGTATTAAGCATGGAGCTGTTATTCTACTTGTGCATAATTCATTAATTATACAGAGCAGATAGGATAAACTTGGGAATGAAGCGCACAAGGTAATGAAGATAGTTCATAGGGTCCCACTTCCATGTTTAGCAGTCCTCAGCTCACAACCACGTCAGCTACAAGGAGTTCTCTTCACTCTCCTGGAGGCAGACAAAATGTTCAATTATTTTGCCTGCTTTTTCCTTTTCCTCTTTTCCTCTTCCTCTTCCTCTTCCTCTTCCTCTTCCTCTTCCTCTTCCTCTTCCTCTTCCTCTTCCTCTTCCTCATTTTCCTTTTCCTTTTTCCCTTTCCCTTTCCCTTTCCCTTTCCCTTTCCCTTTCCCTTTCCCTTTCCCTTTCCCTTTCCCTTTCCCTTTCCCTTTCCCTTTCCCTTTCCCTTTCCCTTTCCCTTTCCCTTTCCCTTTTTCCTTTTTCCTTTTTCCTTTTCCCTTTCATTTTTCCCTTTTTCCTTTTTTCCTTTCCTTTTTCCTTTCCTTTTTCCTTTTTCCTTTTTCCTTTTCCTTTTTCTTTTCTTTTCACTGTTGCAAGATTCTGTCCAGGTTACAGTTACTCAGGCAGACCATTACTTGGCTGCAGAGCCAAGAAATAGCAAACTACAGAGTTGCTGTCTTCCATTTCTAGTTGTGTTCAAACAGGAACAAAAGAGAGTTGCTCTGGGTCTGGAGTGGGACACTTTTCTAACCTTACAGAGATCTGGGCCTCCTGTGTTCCAGATGTTACTTTAATTTAGAAAACGCTAGAATGTTCTTTTAGTTATTTGATATTCCAGTGCTTGCCAACATTTGAGCCGTTACAATCCGTATTAAATTTTATTTTGTAAACCTTGCTTTCTGAGAAGTGTTTTTGTGAGTTTTAAGACTGTTTTGTAAAACTTCACTCCTCTTTATTCTTTTGCTACAAACTTCATCTTCATTGGGAGAATAAAACCAAGCATATTTTATAACAGATCCTACAGTTCTTGAGTCTGTGATAAGAATTATAAGGGGTGTATTAAAATAGAAGATAAACTTCATAGAAGTGGCTATTTTCATTACTTAAATCCAGTAAATTTTGAGTGCAAGTTTATATGGAAATATATAAATTTATGACTTATTTATAACAAAATATTTCAAATATTTGTTAATTTGATGGTTATACATAGGAATTCTGTATTTTATCTTTTTTCCTGATAGTTGGACAACTTAATAACAGGCTCCTGACTCATTTTGGTACACAAAGGGTTAGTTTTAGTTAAAAATTTAAATAGAATTTATGGTAAAATTATGTATTTATCATCCCTCGTAGTAATGCAAAAAGGTTATCTGTCTTACCAGACTTTAAAATTGAGCTTTGCAGCAGCATACTGGAATTACACATGCTTTCTGTAGTAAAATGAGTTTGGCTCTGATGGGAAAAACTACAGATGTCTGAAACACCACTTGCAAAACGTAATGTTTTCTCAGATGCTCACTTTTAAATAATGGATCTTCAAAAAAATGAACAAAACTAAATTTATTTTCCTTTATTGCAGAGAAGCATTTCAGAAAATTCTTTAGTAGCAATGGATTTCTCAGGACACAAAAGCAGAATTATAGAAAATCCAACTGAAGCCCTTTCAGTTGCAGTCGAAGAAGGATTAGCATGGCGGGTATAAACAGCTTTGCTTTATCAGAATAGTATTTTCTGATTTTAATTTTTATTAAACAAAAAATCTTTGAAATCGTGTTTTTACTTCTCTCTTGTGCAGAGGAGAGGGTGTCTACGACTCAACTCACATGGTAGTCCTATTGCCACGTCTAACATGGGTATGTGTGAGTTAATTCATTGCTGGAGAAATAGCTGGTTCTTTCAATAAAGGCAAAATGGTTTTTAAAGATCTTTATTTCTACAGCTATACACAGATCTCAGTCATGGTTTCATCATAAAATCTCTAGAGAAGAGGCTCAGAGACTTATTTTGCAGCATGGACTTGTAGATGGGTAAGTCAATTCTTTACATAACTCTCTGAGACATACATCTAGTGAACAACGGCTGTTTTCATGTACTTCATACTGGGCGGAGATGGAGGAAGAAAGATTTTGCACTTACCTAATAGAAATAAAAATTCTTTTATATAGGGCTATCTGGGGACCAGTTGGTTTCTATTTTATATCTTCTGGAAGCAATAAAGTGGTGATCTAACACTCCGATTCTGTCACTGACAGATTACTTATGTCCGCTCAGAGACAGGCACTTGAGCTCTGTATTTGTACAATATTCTCTGGGAACTGTCAACTTTGGCACCAGTGTCTTTTGTATCTCTTATTAGCGATGAAAGAAGGAAAGAAAGCCTGAAAACATTACTCTAAGATGAACTGTGCAGGGACAGCCATTGAAAAAAGTATGCTTTTCCTCTTGAAATGACTAAAAATTATCCCTCAATGGTAAAAAGTAAACATTGGGATAAGACTTCTGTTTTTCTCTCGTCTAAATATTAACTTTAAAAAATGACACAGCAGGTAAGTATTTTATGTTCATGTCCTCTGGGTTTTCATTTCTGAATTTTTATCCTTACCCCTGTGTTAAGTGTAACTTGGGTCTTCTCCATTCAGTGAGTACTTCCATGAAGCTCTAAGTTACTCCAAGTCTGTTTTCAGTTAGGTACCTGTAATATCAAATCACAGGTTAAATTCCATCGATTTTAGATTAAGTATGTTGTAATACTGTTGTCTACACCTGCAGAAACTGTTTAGAGGCAAAAAAATAGCAATGGGAAGGAAAGGGAGTCCAAAATAATCGTACTCAGCAGAGATGTCTAATTGGACTTCCCCTTTTGTATTTTTTCTTCTTCTTAATTTCAGGAGTCCCTTTTTTAAGTCTGCCTAATCATAGAATCATGGAATGGTTTGTGTTGGAAGGGACCTTAAAGATGATGTAATTCCTAGTCCCCTGTCGTGGGCAAAGACACCTCTCACTAGACCAGATGGCTCAAAGCCCCATCCAGCCTGGCCTTGAATGCTTCCAGGGAACTGCTTCTCAGCTGTGCCTTCACTTTTGCGTTAGTTATGAGAGGGGTGGGACATGGGGGTGAATCCAACATGTATTTCTGAGCAGTGTGTCGTTGTAGGGCTGATTCCTGTGTATTTCAGTGGGTACACTCGCATGCTGTTAGATGGAACCCAGTACGTCGGGCGAGTAAAGGGCAATGGTGTTTGAGATGAGAAAACGTCTCACTTTAGTTTAGGACGGTGTCATTTATGTTCTGTTGTTGGATCTATTCATAGATAGGCTTTGTGGGTTTGGTGCAGGTGATGCGCTTGCATGGACCCTCTAGAATTGGTTAGAACATGGTGGTATGAGTGCTCGTGTTTGGAGTCATCTGGCACAACTAAAAAGCTGCCTTCCAACCAACATTTCTAAGATCCTGTGAACTACAACCCTTGCTTCATAGTAACATTTTAAAGTGTTCTTTGACAACTAAAGTAGGTCTGTTGTGGTAAGGCTTCAAAAGAGTAAAGATCTTTTTATGTGAAGGAGACCAAATGTTGCTTATCTTTGCTTTTAAAACAAGAAAAAAGTAAAAAAAATAACTTTAAAAGAACTGATAAACAGGAACATAAATCCTAATCAGCCTGTGTTTTCTTTCCTACCCAATGTGATTACTTTCTGTATCATTTAATGTGGATCCCAGTATTTGGGTGTAGAGACCTCAGTTGTGTATCTGCAACGTGGCGTGTTCTTATAGTGTCATTTTTCTGAATCAAATAAAATGCTGGTCCTTAATGACAAATATATATAATATGTATGTTTATGCAAAGGATCTCTCTCACTGTGCTCTGAAAAAATTCATTCCTGTCCTGGAGAGGGTGAAAGGCCACTAGGTGGTGAGAGAGAGCTTGTTAGGAGAGCCTGAGTCTATTGAGAAGTTTTATACATCCTTAAACTTGCCGTTTGCTCTTACAAGCCGTATGCTGAGCTGGCAATTATCCCTCTTTAATAACTGAATTATTATCAAAACTCCGAGTTAGACTGCATGGGGATCGTAGTAGAAATGTTAATGATTATGGACTCCAAATTTATTAATTCTAGGTATTTTCTTCCTTTTTAAAAATAGAGCTCTCAAAAACTTTGAGGATGAGATTAGTAGTTTGGATCCGTGCTGTTAATCATTGCAAATTCACTGTAAGCCTCTGTCCACTTTCTTCTCTGGAAGGCCTTTATTTTTATGCAGTTGTTGTGCTCTCATTCCTGGTATGTGGTTGGACAAACGTAGGGGACCACTAAGTGCTCACTTGGTTGATACCTCCAAGTCCATCTTGCCCATTTCTTTTGTGTCCCGAGAGGGGAACGTGCTTGCCAATGGCCGTCCCACCATGTCCCTTCTTCGGTTCGTTGGCTGTAGCTGTATCTGTTCCAGACACGCACAGCACAGACAGTTGAGTCTCTCTCCACTACAAAACTGTAAAACAGGTACCTCCCTCTGTCCTGCAGACTGTTGTCTGCCAGTCTTCCAAACCCAGGGATTCAACAAAGGCTGTCTCTTGCTGGTAGTCATCCTTTGTCGCTGTAGATTATCCTACTGGGATTATGAGAAAATGATGTCTATCCATAACCTGGCTGGAATAAGTTATCAGTGAAGTAGTTGCGGTGACACTGTTGGCCACTGAGAGTGTCACGATTTACATAACGATGCCATAAAGTGAGCAGAGTGTAGCTCTGTCTGAGTGGGAATTTGGCCGATACGCAGAAGTGAGTGTGCAGTTATGAGTATTGGCCAGATGTGGAAATCATTCTGGTGTGTCTTGCATTACCTTTTCTGTAAACTTCCTGTGGAACTACCTTTGGAATTTTCCCTATAACATTTGTGATTTAGGTAACTGCCAGAGTCCAATGAAAAAAATATGTTCAAAGCACAAACTTTGAGGGTGTTTTTCAGTCTGAAGAGATGCATTGTAATTCTATGCAGTGTAAAAGCTAACGCCTACAGTGTCATTCATTCTGAGAAGGCATATTTTTCACATAATAGACAAGGTGAAGAAGAACTCAAGAAAAAAGTATTTCCAGTGACACATTTGCAAAGAAATACTGATTAAAACCATAACTTACATAATTAATATTCTTTTTGCTTTTTACTAATACTTACTGTAATGAATTTACAGCAGTTTTAACTGTATGTTTACAAAAGGCTTTCCAGGGTGATCTTACTGTGAAAATTTTCCATCTCTTTTAGGGTATTCCTGGTACGTGATAGCCAAAGTAACCCCAAAACATTTGTTTTGTCATTGAGTCATGGATTAAAAATAAAGCATTTCCAAATTATACCAGTAAGTAAATTTTTCAGCTTATATATACAGTTGTAAAACAAAAAAGTTGAGTAATTGTGATAAAATATTGATGGATTTTTTTCTTTTGCTGTTATATGGAAGGTGTAAGCATAATATGTTTATCACTAAAAGTAATGAGTATTCTTGAGTAGAGTAGAACATTTTTGACCTTTGCTGTTTGATTTGTTACAAAGGTTGCCTAATATGATGAAATCCTAAAAAGTGGCTTGAAAAAATAGACAAATCTGTTTGGTCTGGAATAGAAACAACCCTGATGGCATGAAAGTCTTGTATTAATAAAGGTCATATTGTGTTTTCCTTTTTCAGTGTGTGCACAATTTCTTTTTCAGTCATCTGTTTAGGTGGATTGCCTATGATGTGTGTGTATATCTCACTAACTCATCTCTTCAGGACAGTTTCTCTCCATGTTTGGCATCAAACATTTTTTTTTGAAGTCTCCTGATTCGTGTTATTGTGGTATATTCGTGTCTAAGTCTTCTTCAGGTGGACAACTTTAGCAAAACGTTGATACTCTTATTTAGTCCAGCTACTTACGGATAAGCTGAAACTTCCTAAATTGAAATAGTATTTTCGCTAGTTTTTATTGAAGATGTCATCCAATTCTCCTGCCAGAAAGGCCAGCTTTTCCCATCGTTTTCATTCTCTCCAGAGGTGGTTTGTGCTGTTTTCTTTACAGGCTGTTTCTGTTGAGAAATGCTTCAGCATTATGTAATTTAGCCTTGACCTATGGCTTTTTCTTCTTTCTTCACAAGAACCTTTCTTGCAGACCACATAATACTTTAGCCTCCATGTTTC